TGCATTGTGCGCAACTGCCTGTTGCATGCCGCACATTGCGGAAGTCCTTTGCAGCTATGCACAGTGACCTGAAATTTTGGGCCTAGCTGATTCGCACGCTGTCCTCCATGCTTCACCAGAGTATGTTGCTGAAGACCCTTAGCGCTGGAGAATTGCCGATCGCACAGAGAGCACGGTACCGCCTGATCTGCCTCAGTCAAGTCTAAATGCATGCTCTGAAGCTCCAGTTGCAGCGCAACAATCCTACCTCTAAGTCCCAGATGCCACTGTATGTTCTGATCCGGGTTGGACTTCTGACAGGCATCTAGTGCGTCTTGATAGTTTTTCATCTGGCTGATCAAAACTGCTTGAGGAGACTGAACCTTGTATTGCTCGAACAGAGTCTTCGTGTCAATATGGCTGTAGTGCTGATGTTGCTTAAAGATGGATCTTAGCATCCTAGAGTATTTACTCTGAAGCTTCTGAAGACCTGATGAGGTGACGCCAGTGGCCACAAGCCCATGCAAGAGTGAGGATTCCACATAGACCCTCCAGATCTCCAACTTCTTTGAAGCCTCCAAGGCCTTAGTGGAGCACAGGATGTGTCGAAGTAGCTCAAACTTGCCTTGAGCTTGGGCGATCCTATAGTCAACAGTCTGGTCTTTGTAGGATCCATAGCTGAGCTGCACCCCTAGATATGTCAGTTTGTGATGAATCGGAATCTTATGTCCTGAGGGAAGGACGATGTGCAACTGCTTCTCTTTGCGCATCGTGTGCTTCTTGCGAAAGATGGACTGCTGAGTGCCCTGAACCATTAGCAAGGCTTTGGACTTCGCTGGATTGACTTCCAGCCCCACGTCCTCAAGAGACTGAAAGAGAGCCTCTATTCTGAGCAGGACTTTCTGAAGTTCAGGAAAGCTCGAGAAGGTTTCCTGGAGCAGGAAATCGTCTGCAAAGACCGTTAGGATTTCCCTAGCTTGCTTGCTATCTGGGCCCCATTTCTGCTCCATTCTGCTCATGACTAGAAGTGTCAGCGCAGACCACAATGCCGGGGCTAGCTTACAACCTTGTTTGATTCCTGAAGAAGTGGGAACTTGAATCTCTAGTCCACCTGTGCCCATGTTGTAGGAGGTCTCACTGTGTAGTTGAACTACCAGTTCTTTCGTAACAGGGTCTGTTCCCAGGCGATCCAAGGCAGCTAGCAGCTCATGTCTATTAACAGAATCAAAAGCTTTGCTCAGATCAACCGAAATGGTGAGTGCCCCTGACAGCTGAGCCTGCCTAGCTCCGCGTTGGGACTTGTGCAGGTCCCTGCGATGCTCTTGACGGAGCTGCTGCGCGAAATCAAGGTGCTGGCATGCTTTCGCGATAGCGTCCCGCACCCCCCTCTGCCGAATGTACGCAAATTGAGGCTGAAGCTGTGAGCTCACCTGCAATGCTGGTGCAATGCGAGTCTTCACTGCACCTGCCAGCACTTTGCCCGGCACGCTGATGACTCCTATGGGCCTCAGGTTTTTCATGGCGGTGGCTGGCTTGCCCGGCTTGGGGATCCATGCTATTCGAGGGTCCTTTAGATAAGGGGAAATTTCTGATTGGGACACCTCAGAGTTGATTAGACCTGCTATGTGTTCATGGGCGTCAGGACCTAGACTCTTCCAAGCTGATACTGGGGCTGAGGTGCTGGGGACTGCTTTCCCCACTGGCACTGTCTTGATTTGCGAGGATACCTGCAAGGCGGTGATCGCTGTTCTGGGCACAGCAGCTACTGAGTGCAAGGGAGGACTTTTGGAGAAGATTTGACTCGAGTATTCGCGCATAGGTTTTAGCGAGGCCTCCGTATCAAGCGGCTCACCTGCTTGATCCCTTAGGTTGACTCTCTGCACTGGGCGCCACGGAGCAAGTTTTCTGAGAGCATGAGCCAGTTTGTGGGATTGTTGCCTTTTATCTTCCTGGGCTTGTAGAAGCAACTGCTCTTGCTTCTCTAGCTTTCTTTGTTTTTGCTGTTTTTTGAAAGCCCGCGCCTCCTCCTTGATGTCCTCCACAAGCTTCTGGCATTCTGGATTATGCTCGGTTCCAGCCCTCTTGTGCGCCTGGATTTGCCGCACTTTCTTCCAATATTCCTGATGAATTGGACCTGCTGCTGGCTGAGACTTGCGTGGAGGAGGATAGTGCTCAGCTGATACACGAACCATCACTTCATCCAGTTCTTGCCAAGACGGTCTCTCTTGCATTGTCCTCACCACTGATTCCGTCAGACGATGTGAGAATGCATGCCAGTTGTCATCTTTCCGCCGAAAGCTCGCATCCAGGGCTGTGGCATCAAACGGCCGTGGCTTGCTGGGTGTAGGACTGTAAGGAGGAATGAACAGAGTAGCTCGCACTGGAAAATGTTTTGATCCATCTCTGTAGGCAGCCACTGGAAAGTTTTTATCAGAGTATGCCTCCTTGGATCTCCTCCGAGCATCGTGCAGTCTGACCAGCATAAAATCGATCTGAGAGGAATATGTGCCATCACTGTTAGTATACGTACTGCGATGGCCAGAAGCCCATGTGTTCAGCGCAGTGAGTCCACAGGATTTGCAGAGCGAGGGCAGTGTCTTCACATCCGCATTTGCAAACCGTACTCGATGAGGCACACTTGGTCCGATATGAGGACGTTCAGTCACCGCATGCGCATTGAAATCCCCAGCCACAATCAAGAAATCACGCTGTGGGACTCTCTGTATTCGATTTTCGAGCTGCGTCATCACGTCCTTTCTCCTGCCTCTGTTTTCCGTCTTCGAGAGCTTTGAATCCCAGACGTGCTGGTACAGGTTCAGGAGATGTATTCTGGATCTCTGCCACGGGATCATGACGTGCTGCAAATGCCCTGGAACAATGGAAGTGCTGCGAATTTCTGAAAGAGGAGCCAGTGAGCTATGCACCAAGACAACCAGGCCAGCCTTGTGTCTGCTTGTGGAGCCACAGGTTAGGACTGACCACGGGCCTGAGCTGTAGACCTGGTCTTGCTGCCAATGCGATTCCTGCAGGAAAACGATTTTGATGTTCTTGTACTCTGTTGTTGCCAAAAGGGCCAGAATCTCGTTCCAAACTCGACTTGTAATTGAGCCTGCGTTCCAAGTAAGGACTTCCATGTCAAATTTGTGATGGATCTGTCTGTTCGGTTGAAAGGAACGCCTCTCCGCTTTCGCAGGAGACGCGAATTGTCCTTCATGAGCTCCTAGAGCCTGAGCTGTCAGAAGTCGGCCTTTGTAAAGTGCTGCTCCCTTCGCCAGGGCAACTTTACAAGCTCTTTGGTAGCTTCGCTTGCCGGTTTTGTTCATGGTTAGCTGACTTCGCTGCGCATGCTGCTCAGCTTCATCGGGGGGCGCTACTTCCCGAAACCCTCGATTCTGATCCATGGCTGGACCCTGGGACTTGGGACCCAGGCACCCAAGAAAGCTCGCTACGGCTACGAGAAATAAAATCCTCATCTTGGGCCAGAATCTTACCACTGCAACAACAACAACAACAACCACAACCACAACCACAACCACAGCCACAGCCACAGACACAGCCACAGCCACAGCCGCAGCCACAGCCACAGCCACAGCCACAACCACAACCACAACCACAACCACACCAACACCACACACACACACAACACAAACACAATCACAACAAGCGCACCAAGAACAACAACCACGAAAAACACCCAAGAAACACAACAAACACAAGACACGCAAGAAACAAAACAAACATGAGGAACTCAAGAAAGAAGCGCAAGGAACACAATAAGAACAAGAAACACAAGAAACACCAAGCACCACTAGAAGCAAAAATCACGAGAAGCACGAGAAACACACGACAAACAACTAATTAACATCAAACACAGAACCAGCACAGCAACAAACACACAACAGACTACAAGCACACAACACACAACAGACAACAAACACACAACACGCAACAGGCAACAAGCACACAACAAACAAGACAGCAATCAACACAACCGCAAAAACAAAACAATCACAACAAACAGCCCAAACACTACAAAAAATCCAAACACAACAAACAACACAAACACAACAAACAACACAAGCACAGCAAACAACACAAACCCAACAAACACAACAAACACAACAAACACAACAAACACAACAAACACAACAAACACAACAAACACAACAAACACAACAAACACAACAAACACAACAAACACAACAAACACACAAGAAACACAACAAACACAACAAACACACAAGAAACACAACAAATAGCAACGGCAAACAACACAAGCACAACAAGCAACACAAACACAGCAAACAAGACAAACACAACAAACAACACAGACACAACAAAACCAAAGACACCATACAACACGAGCGACACAAAAGACAGCACAAGGACAATACACAACACAAAGACCACAAACAACACAAAGACAACACACAACACGTAAGCAATAAACAACACAAGGACAACAAGCAACACCAAAAAGCTAACAACACAAGGACAACGAACAACAAAAAGACAGCAGACAACACAAGCAACACAAAGACAGCAGGCAACACAAAGACAACAAGCCACACAAAGACAACAAATCAACACAAAGACGACAAACAACACAAAGACAACACATGACGCAACGACAACAAATAGCACAAAGACAAATCGGCAGCAAGCGGCAGCAAGCGGCAGCGGCAGCAAGCAGCAGCACGCAGCAGCAAACAGCAGCACGCAGCGGCAAGCAGCAGCACGCAGCAGCAAGCAGCAGAAAGCAGCAAGCAGCAACAAGCAGCAAGCTGCATCAAGCAGCAGCAAGCAACACCACGCAGCGGCAAGCAACAGCACACAGCTGCGAGCAACACAAGAACACCACCAGCAGCAGTAGCAGCAGCAGCAGTAGCAGCAGCAGTAGCAGCAGCAGCAGCTGCTGCTACGACTACCACAACAGGTTGGAACATCGGTTGGAACATCATTGAACACATTTAGCTCTACACACGCAGAAGCCTGCTGAGCCGTGCTTTGTCGGACCTGAGGTATGGCAAGAAACAGCGGCTTGGACCCGACCGGGGGTTTCTTTTCTTATGCCGGTTCTATGCTCGGCATCTCAGCTTGACCAGTGCTGAGGCAGGCGGATCCGAACAGTCACTTGGCTGAACAGGGCAAAGGTGGAGTCGAAGGATTTTACTGGCTGCAGTGAAGCAGCACGTGCCTGGCCGCCTGGCCAGGCACGCAGATAAGAGGTAAAGCCAATTCCTCCCAAGGTGTGGGAGGCTTCCTGTTCCAGACGCTGCTCATGTTTTTCGCTTTGGCCCTGGTCATCACCCTGATAGGCGCAGCACAAGGCTCGGTTGAGAGTGTCGGCATCATTTTACAGGAACTTCTCCCGGACGCAGTAGCCTCGCATCGGATTTTTGGGGGGATTCCAGGCTCCGGAGCGGAGATTTTCGCGCTGCAGCCTGGCACGAAAAATTTCGCCTTCTTTGTATGCGGTGCCGATATGGGGCGCAGGGTGGCAGCCTATGTAGAGCTAATTGTTATTTATGTATTTACTAATCAGTCTATTATGTGGTTGGAAGGTGTTCTGGTGTTCTTTCTGGCGATCTCAGCATCGGTTTTTGCCAGCGCATGGCAAAGGATGGACGAGGTCAACTACCAACGGGCTTGCTGCATGATTGCACAGAAGCCTATGCGGGAATGTTGAATGTGTAGCTTGTGTGCAGTGGTGTAGATTGTTTAGGTTGGACGACTTTGTCCATCGCGGCTTTGCTGCTCGTTCTCTACCTCTACTCCCATCGTCCGCGTTCTGGCCTTAGAAGGTTTGCATATGGCTTTTAGGAGGTGGGAGCAGTTGGAGTGTGGCAGCATTCTGCCAGCAAGGGATGTCAAATGCATTCTGTTGCAAAAGCAACGCCTTCAGAGCTTTAGACCCCAGGTCTTGACTGCGGGTCCTCATATCGGCAACATTTCGCAGCCTCCTGACTAAGCTTGGTGCGCGCCGCAACAGCATGGCCGCGTGCACATCTTAGATGTCATCGGAGCTGCCGCGAAGAAAAGAGATGGTAAGACCACAAAGTAAAAGGTTTGTGTATACTCATCGTGGGGCATCCCAGTGATGCGTTTGTGTGCCTTTTGTTGACCATGCCCCTCAAGGCACACCTCTGCAGCTTGAACCGCGCTTGCAATGATTCTAGCTGACACACCGGATCTGTGGATCTGAGGTGAGCGATCTGTGTGCAGCAGTCTATGCCCGGGAGGACTCTCACGTTGACCTGATGGTGGCCATCACCAAATAGGCAATGGTTCGCCCTCGACGCAACCGGTGGCAGGACTATGGCGGTTTCTGCGGACGACGAAAACGCGGAGAACTGAAACTTGCATTCACCAAATACTACCCGGAAGCTTGGGCGATGATTGTTAGACGCTGTTTGTCATTTCAGGAATATGAGATCATGTTTTGTGATTTTTGTTTCGCTCTCTCTCTCTCTCTCATTCGCTCCTTGATCGACACACACACACACAAAAAGAGGGTACATTCGTCCTCATGGAGGTTTTTTGGGGCTTCGTCAGACTTGCAGGCACCAACAGCTCTAAGGAAAAGAAACTCTGGTCGTTTGGGCAGAATCTGTTTTCTTCTCGGCTTGCAATATCAGCCGGCCGAGTAAGCAAGTCCTCCCCCCCAACCCCCCCCCCCCAGTCACTGGTTTGCTTTCTAATGCATTGATTCAATTCTTTCTTTCTTTCGTTCTTTCTTTGTATTTCTCCTTCTCTCTTTCTTTCTGTCTTTGTTTGTTCTTTCTGTTTACTTGTGTTTTATTCTCTCTCTCTCTCTCGCTCACACACACACACACACTCTCTCTCTCTCTCTCTCTCTCTGCAACTGCGCATTAGCAGATCGGATGAAGGGGCACAGTCTAGTTTGGCACGCGTTGCCAGGGCGCAAGGCACTCACCCCACAAGACACTTTCTGTGCAGATCCTGTGCGGTCTAGTCGGATGAGGGTGCGGCAAAAACGGGCTGCCGCTGTAGTGGGTGATTATCTCATGCTGCATGGTCACTGCATGGTCCGATCATGGTCCCATCTCAGCTTCAGCATTGTTGCGGGTTGGTTTAAGACCACGCGTGAAGTGACATGATCTCATACGCCAGCCGAGGACGAAGTGAGTCCCTGAGATGCAAATGGATGGAGGGAGACGGTAGCAGCTACGGTATGGATGGGTATGGTATTCCTAAAGCTTCGGTCCTGGTTTCCCGAGGCCTGGCTACAGGCCTCCCGCCGACTGCACCGAATGCCAACTGCATTGGCCCCGTGGCAGCGCTGCCTGTGGCCATGGCAGGTGCGGTCAAATTGTCCACTGTGCACCTTGCAAGAGTCTCGGATACCACCAGAAATACCACCACACCAGACATCACTTCGTGAACCCACTCTTGGGACTCCAACCGCCTCTCTATTCCACTGTCACACCCTGAGTCAGTCCTGAGTCCTGTTAGCGCAAGCCAAGATACCGCCCTCACTCTATTACCGTCAGACTTGTCCGTGAACCCTTTCTTGGTTGAATTCCCGCCGGCCGAATTCATGAGTCCTAGATGCACGCCGTTTGGCATGCTTCTAACTGGGAAAAGCTGGACAGGGAAACAAACTCACTGGTAACAAGTGGTGAGCTTGCGAACCGCCCAAAGCCCTGATATTAATGGCCCGCAGTGTTGTGCACAGGTGAATCGGCGTCGGTGCTTCAAGAAAAGTCTCGATCAGCTCAGGAGCAGGTGCGCCCCGTGGAGCAGCCTTTTGTTAACGGTTCGCGCATGTTTGCACGATGGCTGACGGACAACAGCCCTTGTAGAGTGCCAGCAGCAAGGGAAAAGGATGTAAGGCTCACTTCTTGCAAGGCTTTCATCATGTCGAGATCCCACAGAACAGACCAAGGGGTTCTAGGCAGATCATGCTGGTGCCTACCTGTAAAGGTAAGGGCCAATATCCATGAATAGTGCTTCATGGAGCGGATCGCCGGGTCATCTGCGTGCTTCCTCAGCTCTAGGTGAATGCTGAAAGCACGCGGTGACATAGATGCAGGTGTGTTAAATAAAGTATTCATTTATACATATATATATACACATATATACAGCTACTCGCACATAGATGTCCACGAGCGTGCGAAACGGGAAACACTCGC